GACTAGACAGCCCCATAAAACAAAATGAGGCACAATAGTCCAGGGACAAGAACTAGAAGGCAGGAGGGGACAGGAAAGCTGGTAATGGGGAACCAAAAGTTGAGAAGGGACAGTGTTGACATGTGGTGGAGTTGTTAACCATTGTCATAAAACAATATGTGTACTAATTGTTTAATGAGAAACTATTTGTTCTGTAAACCTTCATCTAAAGAACAATAAAAAAATTGTGGTAAGTAGATACATACGTACACACACACGTGTATGTATGTTTATAGGAGCCCTGGTGGCACAGTGGTTAAGAGCTATGGCTACTAACCAAAAGATTGGCAGTTTGAATCCACCACCTGCTCCTTGGAAACCCTATGGGGCAGTTCTACTCTGCCCTATAGGATCACTTAGTCGGAATATACTTGAGGACATCAGGTACAGGTATATATATATATGTATGTATAAAACAAAACATTTGACATTTCAGCGATCTTCACTTGTACAGTTCAGTGACATTAATTATTTTCATCATACTGTTAAACCATCACCATTATCCATTCCCAAATTATACCATCGCCCTTAACAGAAGTTCAGTGTCTTGTAAGCATTGAGTCCTCCTTTCACCCTCCCTTCTGCCTGCCCCTGGTAACCACTAATAAACTTTGGGCTCTACACATTTGCCTATCCTAGATTTTCATATAAGTTGGATCGTGCATATTTGTCCCTTTGTTTCTGGTTTATTTCACTTAACATATGTTTTCAAGGTTTATCCATGCTGTAGCATGTACCAGGACTTCATTTTTCTTTATGGCTGAGTAATATTCCATTGCAAGTATATACCACGTTTTGTTTTTATATTCATCTGTTGATGGAAATTTAGGTTATTTCCATTTTTGGTTATTGTGAATAGTGCTGCAATGAACACTGGTGTTCAAATATCTGTTTCCATTCCTCCTTTCAATTCTTTTCAGTGCGGGATTTGGTTTATTTCTAGTTGGACCAGATAAGGGTTGATACAAGCTCTGAGGCAGCCCTAGAATTGACCCAGCTGCCCTCGTGGGCCAGACCACATGGCCACCCTCAGAACCTACTTATGAGGGTGGCTCTGAAAGCCCCGCTAGTTCTGCTCCAGGGTGGGCACTCTTGGGAATGGATAAGATGGGCTTAGGCCAGCAGCTCAACCCTTACAACATTATGGTAAATGTAATGGTCTGGTTATTGGCTGAGCTGTTTCTGCTAAACTCTGCATTTGAGATTTGGGAAACTATTTTCACCTGATAGGCTTTACTCTGCCATCGAGTCAATACCGACTCATAGCAACCCTGTAGGACAGAGTAGAACTGCTCCATAGGGTTTCCAAGGATCAGCTGGTGGATTCAAACTGCCGATGTTTTTGGTTAGCAACCATAGTTCTTAACCACTGTGACACCAGGGCTCTTTAGGTACTGCTTTTTATACTCCCTGAGTTTTATTTTGACTAAGGCAGTTTCTAGTTTACAGTCCCATCTGAAACCAGATAGACTTTTTTTCACTTCAGGTTTCATGTTGAAAACTATGCATCATCTTTTTCACAGGGCAAAGACCTCATCTCAAAATGAAAATCTTGCAATAACAACTTCCTGTGTGTACCTGAAGCTGTGTGTACCAAGAACTCCTTGACTTATAAAGATTTTTACTGATGAAATATGGCAGAATAACATCCTAAAACAGAAATATTCAGCAAATGAAAAATAAATGCTTCCCATTTTGAAAATGTGGGATCAAACATAACCTATCAACATCTTCTATTCCCAGGGTTACCGATCTTTTCCTGGAAAGGGCCAGATAGTAAATATTTTAGGCTTTGTGGGACATATGATTTCTGTTACAAATACCGAGCTCTACCATTGTAGCTCGAAAACAGTCATCAACACTAGTAAAAAAATGGGCATCGCTGTGTTACAATGAAATTTATTTATGAACGTAAGCAGTAAGTATGATGTGACCTGTGGGCCATAGTTTCCCAACTTCTGTTTTAATTGGTCAACTGAGAAAAATGTTTATTTTCCAGTCCCATATTCTATCTTATTAAGATATTACCTTGGAAATGATGCTAATGTTCCACTGACAGTAATATGTGCACTTAAAGTTGATCTTCTTTATTGCAATGTTAAGAATGAATGTGTATGCATTCATTTATCCACTTTTATTTACCAGGTACCAGAAATAAGGTGAGGAACAAAATGATTACTTCTCTTTGGGGGCATATCCCACAGAGTGGTGTAAACATTGAGGGCTATAAGCACATCACAAAGATCTCCAAACTTCTTCGGATTTAAAAAGGTGCCTATCAGGAAGTTTGTAACAGAAAGTGTTAAGACACAGAACTTACAAAGGCCTGGAAGTCATAGATGGCATATTGTATTTGGGAAATTGAGTTGAAATGTAGCTTGCTGGGTTGGGGGTATGGTTTGAGAGAGAGGAAAAAAATGATGAATTGCATCCAAAAATGAAATTGGGACTACAATGAGTGAACAAATCATGATCAAACTTGTATGTCATACTGAAGAGTTCAGATTTGTTTCAGATGGTGGGGGGAGTGTCATTCTGATGACCTATTAATGCATTCTCCATATAACCTCTTTGAAGACTTTTTAAAAGCATGAAAACATGAATAACATGAATAATTTCTTTTATAAGGATCAGCACAAAGCTGGTTCCTATGAGGCAGAGATTAAAGAGCTCCCAAATGTCCAACTTTTCCAAATTGCTCTACCACTCCATCATCTCTAAACTCAACTACTCCTCCTCCCCTCAGTACTCTCCCTCCCATCTTTGGGTTCCATAATTCACTGCAAAGTATCACAGAACTCATGAACCGTACTTACAGTTAACTGGTTTATTAGGGAAGTAACACGGTACAACTCCGGATCAGAAATGACTCAGGATACAGTTCTCCGATAAAGAGAGCTTCTTCTCAAGCATGCCCGCAGGCAGGCCTCTGTCTGGCCTCTCGGCCTCTCAGCCTCACAGCCTCTCAACCTCACCTCTGCCCTGCTCGTCAAGTGTTACAAAGCCCCTAGCTCCAAGGGTTGGTAAACCTCACTGCAGCCGTCTTGCACTAGTCTCCTGGTTCCTGCTGTCTCCCAACACTATTGCTCTTGCTACTGCTGTGCCACTATCTCTTGCTGTCTTCAGTGTTACAACTCCCTCTCTCTGTCTCCTGGTTCTAGGAGGTTCTCAGTACAGGTACCTCACGTCCAAAGGACAGGTTCTCCTCCCGTCTCTTCTTCTTCTCTGGGATGGCTCCATTTTAAGCCTACTGGGATGGCAAAACTGGCCAATCCCCTCGTTAGGGTTCCACGCACTTTATTTGCTTTATTAGCAAGATTTCCAATCCCCTTGGTGGACCACAAGTACCTTATTTGCATAGTTACACCCAATCATTTGGTGGGAGTTACAATACTATGGCGATAAAGGCCACGTAAAAGTGATCCATCGCACCACAGCAAGTCAAGGCCAACTATAAGCACTGAATGTAGTCAACAGGTGTAGAAGTTAGAGTTCCAACATATATTTTGGTTGGACACAATTAATTCCATAACAATCCCCTGCCAAACCAAACCAAACCAAACCAAACCAAACCTATTGCCATCGAGTCGATTCCAACTCATAGCCACCCTATAGGACAAAACAGAACTGCCCCATAGGGTTTCCAAGGAGTAGCTGGTGGATTCGAACTGTTGACCTTTTGGTTAGCAGCCTTAATGCTTACCAATCCCCTAACAGCCTCAAAATCATTCACTATATTTAACCCAGACATCCCTAAAAACAAAGAGTCCTTCTGGCGTTTGTAAATTGTTTTATACCTCTTATAAGATTGTTTTAGAGTACAATAATGGAGGCTTTAAGGAACTAACATAAAAGTATAATATGACGAGTATAACAATTTACTCTGATCTCTCCTCCATCTCTCCCTGATACACAGAAAAGTTGTAAATAAATGAAAATCTTATGACAAAAATTGAAATTTTAAAAAATATTCAAAATACCATGAATCTTAGCTTTATTGGTGTTACGTCTCTCCTTCTGATAAATTTTTTATGCATTTATGGACTTTGTAAACTATATGGTTACTTTTCAAATACTTCAAAATATTTGTTATCATTATTTTTCCTAGACTTGGTTAAATGCCATTTTCTTCAGGAAGTTTTCCTTGACCCTCCCCCCCCCAACCTTGGCTGATGCCCCTCCATTGCATTCCCATAGAACCCTGAACTTCCACTATCACAGCACTCAAATCAGTGTCTGATTACTTATCTAGTTTCTAGTCTGTGTATACTTTAAGGAGAGCCCCATGTCTTCCTCATTCACCATATATGCCCCTGTCTTGCACATAACAGGCCCTCAATGACTTGTTAGATGAATAAAGAAAGAAAGGATTTTTCCCCCAGAACTAAATCAATACCTTATCTTTCTATTACAGTATTTTTCTCATTGTCTTAGTTATCTAGTGCTACTATAACAGAAATATTACAAGTGGATGACTTTAACAAAGAGAAATTTATTCTCTCACAGTCTAGGGGGCTAGAAGTCCAAATTTAGGGATCCAGATCCAGGGGAAGGCTTTCCCTTTCTGTCACTCTGGAGGAAGGTCCTAGTCATCAATCTTCCCCTAGTTTAGGAGCTTCTCAGTGAAGGGACCCCAGGTCCAAATGACACTACTTTCTTGGTGGTATGAGGTCCCCCCCCCGCTTGCTTATCTCTTTTATATCTCAAAAGAGGTTGACTTAAGATACAACCTAATCTTGTAGATTGAGTTCTGCCCCATTAACATATCTTCCTCTAATCCTGTCTCATTAACATCATAGAGGTAGGATTTACAATACATAGGAAAAATCACATCAGATGACAAAATGGTGGACCATCACACAATACTGAGAATTATGGCCTAGCCAAGTTGACATACATTTTGAGGAGGACACAATTCAATCCATAACACTCATTAAAAATATGTTTGATCCTATTTTCAGGTTCTGTGAATCCTCCAAGAGATCCTCCACTCAATGTTATGGAATCTACTCTTAACACTAAATATTCTCCAGCCAACAGCATATCTCCTACGACTGTGTTTGCACACTATTTTCTTTGCATGAGTTATTATTCTTTTATCCAAGCAGTTTTATAATGAAAAAACATTTTCAGAAAACTTGCTTGATTTATGAACCTTTTTTTACCTGCGACATATTATATAAACATATTAAGTACTATTCTCATGGCTTCAAAGAGTTAACACAGATTCCAAAGTCCTTCATTTTCCAGCCCTGGGAAAATCAAGTCAATAAATATTCAGTGAGAAATTTAAATTCTGTATTTATTATTAAATATATTAATAAATTGACAGTCCTCCTTCACAACTATGTTCTCAATGGGTTGTTTAAGAAATTGGTTGTAAATGGGAATCCTGTACTCCAGAGACAGTTAGTTAGTTTTGCATTTAAATTTGTTCTGGTTCAAACTTATTTTGACAAAGTTGATGAGTGAGGATTATGAATTCAGCCCTCCCAGCTATGGTATTACTAACAATGGAGACAAGGCTGGGTCATGTAACTATGGCAAAGGGATACCACTGTACCCTAAAACTTTGAAACTTAAAAAACATGTGTTGCCTCACACAGTTTCTAGGGGTCAGAAATCCAGGAGCAGCTGGATAGTTCTGGCTCAGATTCTTTCACGAGGTTTTAGTCAAACTGTCGGCTGGAGCTTCAGTGATCCGAAGGCTTGAGTAGGGCTAAAAGATCTGCTTCAAAGCTTCAGCATATTAGCAGTAGGCCTCAGTCAGGACATGGGCCTCTCCGTAGAACTACACACAGTATGACAGTTTGTTTCCCCTAGACCAAGTAACTGAAAGGACAGAATGACAAAGACAAAAGTCACAATGCCTTTTTATGACCTTATCTCCAAAGTTGCACCATGACTCCTGCTTTATTCCATTAAGAATAAGTCGTTAAGATTATCTCATACTCAAGGAGAAGGGAATTAGTTTCCATCTCTTGAAGGGAGGAGTATCAAAGCATTTGTGGACAAGTTAAAACCACCATACCTGTCACTGAGAAAATGTATTAATATAAAATGGAATGTGGTTTGATTTTCTTTACTGTGAAAGATTGACAGAGACAACATTACCATTTGCATTTTCCAGATGGGAATACTAAGATGCTGAGAGGTTAAAGTGATCACACCAACTAGTAAGAGGCAGAATTGATATTCACACCAAAGCCTTCTGACTCTGAATCTCCACATGACTCCATGATTTCTCCAGTGGTCTAAATACTCCATGAGGACAGGAACCACATTTGTTTTGCCTCCTAAAACATGCCTAGCACAGAGTAGGCATTTAAAAAATATTAGTTAAATAAATTAATTAATAAAAGAATTAATAAGAACAATATATCTTCACTGTATAGATGGCATTGTAATAAATCCAATAGTGTTTAAAAGAAAGACGACAACTTATTTCTGCCTTTAAAAACGTTGTAGTCTACTTGAAGAGAGATGATGGAAACAATATTTCAAAATAGTAAAGTGAAAGGTGCCAGACCTTGTATAATTAAAATGCCCAGTGAGATGTCAAGGCTTTGAGTAAGAAAAAGTCCCTGTGGGTTCATGGGTTCAGGAAATTTTACCTAAGAAAGATGAAATAAGCTGAAGCTTGAAGAGTTCATTGGATTTGTTTAGCTGAGTCAATAGCTTGAAAGAACATTGTAAACAGAGAGAACAAAGTTAGTAGTTGTGCATTGGCAAAAATATCATGGGCATTTGAGAAAATATCAATAGAGATACTTGGGTCAGGGAGGTGGAATTATGTAGCAGAGAAGCATGGATCAAGAATGGAAATATCTTCTCTGGGAACATCTAGCTCAATCGGCATAACACAGTTTGTAAAGACAGTGCTCTACATTTTACCTTGGTGAGTAGCACCTGGGGGTCTTAAAAGCCTGTGAGTAGCCATCTAAGATACTCCACAGGTCTCACCCCTTCGGGAGCAAGGGAGAATGAAGGGAACAGGATACAAAGAAAAGATTAGTCCAAAAGACTAATGTACCACAGCTACCAAGGCCTCCACCAGACTGAGTCCAGTACAGCTAGATGCTGCCGGGCTACCACCACTGACTGCTCTGACTGGGATCACAACAGAGGGTTCTGGATAGAGCTGGAGAAGGACGTAGAAAAAAATTCTAACACACAAAAAAAGACCAGATTTACTGGCCTGACAGAGACTGGAGAAACCCTGAGAGTATGACCCCCGGACACCCTTTTAGCTCAGTGGTGAAGTCACTCCTGAGGTTCACCAGTCAGCAGGGGATTGAATAGCCCCATAAAACAAAACGGGACTAATGAAGCACAGCAGTCCAGGGACGATGACTAGAAGGCAGAAGGGGACAGGAAGCTGGTGATAGGGAACCCAAGGTTGAGTAAGGACAGTGTTGACATGTAGTGAGGTTCTTAACCATTGTCATAGGGCAACGTGTGTACTAAGTGTTTAATGAGAAACTATTTTGTTCTGTAAACCTTCATCTAAAGTGAGAATAGCAGCACAACTGGAAGAATGTACTCAATGTCACTGAACTGTGCATGTACAAATTTTTTAAATGGTGTATCTTTGTCTATGTATATTTTCACCAAAAGAAAAAAAAGGTTGAGAAGGGAGAGTGTTGACATGTCTTGGGGTTGTTAAACAATGCCATAAAACAATATGTGTACTGACTGTTTAATGAAAAAATATCTGTTCTGTAAACCTTCACCTAAAGTACAATAAAAAAGGAAATATCAGAATAAAGAGAGTCTTGATCCCCAGCCTAAGAATTCTAAATATTATCTTTTAAGAAATGGGGCAGGGACCTGATTAAACACATTTTTAGGGAAAAAGTTATATGATTCATTAACTTAATATTTACTGAACACTTATTATGTATGAAGTACTCTTCTAAGTGCTGGAAATACAACAGTGAAAGAACAAAAATACAGAAAAAAATCCCGCTCTTGTGGCATTTACATTTTTCTCATTGAACCAAGACATGAATTTCTTCTAGTTGTGTTTACTATGGGCTTAGTCAGCATGCATTAAGTGCTCACATATCACCAAGCACCAGTCTTATTTCTATGAAAAAATTCAAGGAAAAGGAAATCACATTTCTTACCCAGAAAGAGATTAAAAAATAATGTAGGCCTAGTATTATAAAGGGAAATAAATTATAATCAAGAAAATATATTTATTAAAAATCAGAAAAATATCCTAACTGATCTACTGTTACACCAAAGTGATATAGTTGGGACATTTCTGGAAAATCAAAAAAAATCTTTAAAACAAGATCTCAGAGGGAGTTCCGGCAAAATGGCTCTCTAGGCAGAAGCACCACGCTGTCCCTCCACAGCAAAGATCCGAAAAACTAAGCCAAACAGAGAATACAACAATCCTGAAACCCTAAAACATCAAATGAAGAGAGAAAGAACTCAGTCGAGCACAAAATGGAGTGAGAAAACTGACAGAGAATGGAGAGCGAGGAGAGATTCATGCAGAGGTCTCCTACCAGGTAACGCAGTGCGGATCCACCATCTTGGACTCCTATCAGAGACCAGCAAACAGGGGTACGAGAAAGCAGCCTCACGGAATGTCCAGCGGGAGTCAAAACAACCGGTAATTTGCAGTGTGCGCTTTCCCACCCCCAACCCCTCTTCGCCCCGGCTTGGCCTCCTCTGCTTCCCGCGGCCATGGTCTCTTGACTGGGAAGTGCCGGCTGCTTGGATTCCACACACCCCAGCGGGCGGCTCTCTGGGTGCCATTTGTTGGCTGCTAGTGTTGCTTTTTTTTCCTGCTTCTTTTGATTTCTCACTTGCCTCCAGCCACCTCCCCCACCTTTCACTTGAGTGCCTGGCTCCGTGCGCCATCTTTGCTTCTTCTTGAGGGGCTGCAGAGCACCGGCAATATGTGATATACGTTTTCCCACTCTCTAGCCTTCTTCACCCACACTCAGCCTCCTCTGCTTCCCGTGGACGCAGTCTCTTGTCCAGAAACACCAGCCCGCACTAGCTGGCTCTCTGAGTGCCATTTGTTGGCTGCTGGTGTTCCTTTTTTTTCCCTGCTTCTGTTCATTTCTTGCTTGCCTCTCGCCACCTCCTGCTCCTTTCGCTCAAGTACCGGGCTCCGTGTGCCATCTTTGCTTCTTCCTGAGGGGCTGCAGAGCTCCATTCAAGTGTGGAGCTGGTTTCCTGCTTTCAGGTCTGAGCTACCGCGCTGGTGGGATCCCGGGGCTTTTGTTCGTTTGTTCGTTTTGAACAGTTTGTTTGTTCTCTTTTCCTTTTCTTGAGTTGGGAGCCCTTTCTGGTCAAGCGGAGCTGCATGGCAAGAAACCCCCCCTTCAGCTTCCACAAAACTTCACAGGAATCCCTGAGGGCATTTATTTTTTCGTTGGTTTTTTTTCTGTTTTTTTGGGGGGCCTTTCTTGTTCTTTTTTTTTAATTTGTTTTGTTTTCTTTTCCACTTTTTCTCTTTTTGTCTTTCTTCATTGTTCAGTTTCTCGTCTGTCTATATATTCCTTTTCTTTCTGATCCCTGAATACCAGGCCTTGTATACCTCTACGCTTTCTAGCCAGGCTGTACTGCGACACCTGAGAGCGACTTCCCCAGACCTCATAGCTGCATCGGTGGGATCCCTGGGAACTTTGCGGTTCTTTAACCTTTCTGATTCTTATTTATTCATTCTTTTCTTTTC